CAGCGCCTGCTGCTCTGGCGCGCGGGCATGCTGCTCGCAGTGCGCGCGCAACGTGTTCTGTTAGGTGCCAGCGGACCCACCCACCCGCCCAGCCACACATCGCGCGTGATTCGGTTTCAACAAAGACTTGAGCTCGTGGCGTGGCCGGACCGGGCGGCGGCGCGTGGCGTGTCGGAGGTGTGCACCGCGTCGCGCGCCACCGGCAACCCGTTCCTCGGGCAGCCCAGCCGTGGAGGAACTCTTCTGCGACGTCGTCTGGCTCGTGCACCACCGCGGGATCGACGTGCCGCTCCTCTCGACGCCGTCCACCGACACCCACGTCGTGCGCAGCTGCTCCTAGCGGCGCCGTGGTCGCGTCTCTGGGTTCGAAGCCGACGACCAGCCACTGGCGGTGATTGTGCCAAGCTGGACGGAGCCAGAGTTGGCCGCGAGGTATCTGAGTGTTTGGTTGAATTTCCAGGGCTGCTCCACACTTGTGCCACAGCGTCTGAGTTACCAGTGGTCTTCGGTTGTGTCTCCCCTTAGGTTATAAGTTTGGTATCTGCCGAGTTATGACTTTTCTTAACTTCGCATTATGGTATCAGCTAAACTTCAAGACCTAAGCTGCTCTCCAAGCTCCTCGGTGATGTTCCTACTGAATCGCTTCGCTCATTCCGCCGGCCCGTGTTTTTGGCGCCTGTTTCGAGCAGGTGGAGTCTCCCCCAGAGGCAGCACTCTTGCAAACTGTCGCACTGAGCAGAGGTCTGGAGCCAGACCCCCCCCTTTTGCGCCCAATGTCGAAACGCCGAATAAAAAGAAAGCTCACAAATCTATCAGGCTTGCGGGCCGGCCACGCGCGGCGAAAGTCGTCGCACGGATCTGTTGGTGCGGCATCAGTGGCCCAGGCCTCTCGAGCTCTGAGGCCCTCTTGTGCGAAAGACGGCGAACACGCACCTGCATAGATCTCACAACCACTACGGGCCTTGCATTCCTGGAAGCACGCAGAGACAGCGAACGCTGCCAGCATCTGCCTGCCCATCCCGACTGGTGGAGGGTAGAAGGCTAAGGGAACAAACGGTGACCTAAGCAGAAAAACTCGGAGGTCCGCGCGGATTTCTTGGATCGGCGCTGGGGCCCCCTGGTTGCGCCTGCGGCACCGCCCCTGGCGCGCTCCGCGCGCCAGGGAGGGGGGGGGGCTGCCGCGCGCTCCGCCGACGTGTCCACGCAGGTGGTGCCCCCGATCCTCCGCCGCAGAGTCGCCGTCTTCGGTAGCGAATCCTGGGAACCTGTTTTAACCTCTGGCAACTCCGTCTTCAGCGTCGATCGGCGCCGACTTGACGTCGGCTAGCGTCGACTTAGCGTCGATTTAGTGTCGATGGGGCGTCGACCAGCGCTGACTCGCGAGAGCCCATAGGATGGTACGGGGGGCTCCCACGAGCTGCCACAGAGCGAGCCGTCGCCGCAGCGTCGCCGCCGCGTTGGGCCCGGGCCCCGGCGTGGCCCTCCCGCCACGCGCAGGGCCGCGGGGGGCGCATGCTGCGCGAGAGTGGGCGGCAGGACCGCGACACGCCGTGCGCGCCTGGGCGGACACTTTGTCACCACCCATCGAAACAACCCAACCCAGTCCGAAGGGCTCAATGTGCCCTCCATTTCCAGTGGGGGGTCGGGGAACATTGGCAAAAACACATCTGGAACCCGTACCCCCCCCCCAACCCGAAATTCGGGTCTTCGGGTTGGGTTGGGGTGGTCTGGTAGGCAACTTGAAGAAGAACAACGGCATAAATATGAACTTTTGGCGCTCCGCGCGGATTTCTTGGATCTGCGTTGGGCCCCCCTGGCGGCGCCGCCAGCGCCGCCCCTGGCACGCTCCGCGCGCCAGGGATGGGGGCCCAGCGCGGATCCAAGAAATCCGCGCGGAGAGCCAACAGTTTATGTTTGTGGCGTTTTTTCTTCTTTTAGCTCTGTCCACGGAGCGCTAGCGGGTTTCGTTCAGTCTTGCAGGGCTTGTGTCAGGGGAGGGGAGGACACCAATGCCGCTGGGTCGTCCTGGAGAGCCCTATTCCGCCACGGCCAGGTTGTCCTCAAAGTCCTGGTCAGAGCGCGCCCTGAGAGAGGTCCGCGGAGTAGCAGTATCGGCATCATGTTGTTACCCTTTCTGTCGAACTTCGAGGGGCGATGGGAGAGCAGTGAAATGTGGCGGGCTGCGGAGTCTGTTGGCTCGGAGTGCATGCAGGGCAGGGAGTCCGAATGTTCTCGGGGCCCGTCTGTTGTGGCACAGAGCGGGAATCCCAGCCAGCCCCGTTTTCTCAGCGATAACCCTCTGAATTCTACATCATGTCCATCCCCAACCATCTTCCGATAGTTTCCACACAAGGTCTGATGAAGATGAGAGGGCTGGGCGACAAGGAGGAGAAGGGAGAAGACGATAAGAAGGCTGGGGAGGAAGGAGGCAGGAGGAGGCAGAGAGGGACATCCACCTCCTCGTTCCCCTCTTCATCGACCTCCTGATCCCGCCCCTGCCCCGGCTGCTCCTCTTCGGCATCCCCGTGGAGCCTGCTGGCATTCCCCCTGGCCAGTCGAAGCCTGGAAACTCACCGGCCCCCTGGTCCAGGGATTCCTTCTTTGGCATTCAGGGGCAACGATAGGGGGGATAGGCATAGAGGGAGATGCATCGAACCCGAATCGCCCATTGATCGCCGATAGGGGCCCGATAGCCCCAACCTGAACACGAAGGTGCGGATTCACTATTAGGGGGCCCATCGCCGATCTATCGGCGATGTATCGTCGATTCCAGGTCGATGCATCCCCCCCTATGCCAGTCCCCCCCTTTCGTTGCCCCTCAAACCTGAGGGCGGACCCTTTTTGAGGGCGCCCGGGGGCTATTTCAGCTCCGATATGGGCGAAAGCGGCCGTATACCGCCTCAGCCTCAAGACGGCATCAGAGGCCCCCAAGACGCTCAGAGAGAGCCCCACAAGGACCCCCAAGAGGAATGGCAGGGTCACAAAGTCTGTATTCTCTTCCGTTTTCGAATGGTTCTAGCATCCTCGCTTTTTCGAGCGTCCGACGGCCCAATACGGCCCCAGTGGCCTCCCAGATCGCCCCAAGACGGCCCAAGAGGACCTCAAGAGGACCCCTAAGGCGGTCCAAGAGGACCCCACGATGGCCAAAGAGGCCCCAAGACGGCCCAAGAGTTCCCCGAGCGACCCCCACGAGGGCAACGAGAGGGTTCCACTAGGGGGCCAAGAGGGGTCCCACTTGGCATAGGCTCCCGACCTGCCTTCAATACCCTCCTGGGGGCATCACTGCTCTCATGGACATTCGCAGACTGTCCCTAATTATTTGAGCCTTTTCGTGAATCATTTGGGCCTGGTCGGATTTCGGAGCCTAGCCACTTCCCCAGCCTCCTGCACCCATTATCGTGCGTCCTTTTTTTGAGCTGGCACTGGAAGCGCATGGCCGCGGCCCGTCCGCCGTGCCTTCAAGCGCAATGGCAGGTCTCGGATGATCAAGCTTCGGCTTCGTAGTTGCTTCCGCTTTCTCACAGACACGTCTTGGGATTAGGAAGCATGCTGGCCCTTGGTCTGCGTTGCACACGGGGGATTGTGCCGTACTCCGCTTGCCAGCGCGCCGCACGACCTCTCGCCGCGGCTGCGTTTGAGCGGTCCGCGTGCGCAGGCGCCCGCAGGTGGGACTTGGTGGCTGCCCTCTGCCTCCAGTGACTCCTTGCTGGAGGCCCGAGCTGCGAATAGTTTGCCATGCCTGTGTTTTAGACACTCCGAGTTTCTTTCTAAGCGTGGGGGGGGGGCGTCACCCCCGCCGACAGCCCCACATCGACCTCCGTCGCGGGCAGCCGCCGCGCGCCGAAGGCGCTCCGACCCCCCGTCGCGGCGCGACGACGAGGCGGGGTTGACCCCTGTCGGGCCCCCCACCCGCCCGCTGATTAAGAAACCTCGAGGGAGGAGGAGGAGGAGGAGGAGGAGGAGGAGGAGGAGGAGGAGGAGGAGGAGGAGGAGAGGAGGAGGAGGAAGAGGAGGAGGAGAGGAGGAGGAGGAGGAGGAGGAGGAGGAGGGGAGGAGGAGCGGAGGGAGCAGGAGGAGGAGGAGCAGGAGGAGCAGGAGGAGGAGGAGGAGGAGGAGGAGGAGGAGGAGGAGGAGGAGGAGGAGGAGGAGGAGGAGGAGGAGGAGGAGGAGGAGGAGAAGGAGGAGGAGGAGGAGGATTATCTTTCAAAAGGCCTCCAGATGGCTCCAACACGGCCCGTGCAAGCCCCGAGAACAGCCTGCAGCGGCCTGGCTGGACTAGCATGGGCTCCCAATAGAGCCCAAGAAGGTCTCGTGAAGGGTCCAATGCGGTCCACGAGAGCTTGAAGACGACTCACGGGGAAGCTACGCGCTATGACGGCCCCATGGAGTTTCCAGAGCGATCCCAGGCGCCCCTCAGGCGGCTCCAGAAGTCTCCAAGGGACCCCTTGACTGCCCCCTGGCCGCCCCAGAGTCCCCACGAGAGCTCCTTGCCAGCCTTCGAGAGCTTCATGACTCGCACCAGATGTCCCAAGGTAGGCCCACGAGGCGAGACTACCTGTCCAGGAATCAGCATGTGCAACAGGGCGCAGCAGGAAGGAAACAGTCGCAAATGATGGCAAGCAGCGGCAACAGACGCGAGTCGGGCAAGCAACACCATCGCGTCCCATTGTGACCGAACTGTCGAGCGCTCGCGCGAAGGAGTAATCCAAGATCCCCTGACCCTCCTAAAACACGTATCTTACCACCCCTCGTGGTCGTGCTCCTCGTTATCCTCCCTCTGCTCCTGTTCGTTATGGACGTTTTCCTCCCCCTCCTCCTCCTCCTCCTCCTGCCTTCTCCTCCTCCTCCTGCCTTCTCCTCCTCCTCCACCTCCTCCTCGTCCTCCTCCTCCTCGTTCTCCTCCCCCTCCCCCTCCTCCTTCTTCCTCCTCCTCCTCCTCCTCCTCTTCCCCCTCCTCCTCCTCCTCCTCCGAACATTGCGCAGCGCGCGCGGCGCCCGAGGTGGCGAGGCCGAGGGCGCAACGGAGCTCGTGCTGGTGGTGTCGCAGCACGCGAGCAAGGCCACCTCGCGCGCGAGATCTGTGCCTACCAGGTGGCTCCAGCGCGGTCACCGAGGGGGAGGGTCGTGTTGGGATCGCTCCTCCCTCCCTCCTCCTCTTCCCCGTTCTCCTCCTCCCCGTCCGCCTCTTCCTCCTCCTCCTCCTCCTCCTCCTCCTTCTCGTCTTCCTCTCATTGCACTCTCGGTGAATCCGAGTTATCGTGTCAGGCTGACGACCATTCGCTTCCGCAGCCGCGTCATTGACTCCATGCGGGGACATATCAAGACTATGCAGACGAGTTTGTTGATTATTGAGAGGATATTAACCGACATTAGCAGAAGATGGACTGATCAGGGAACCCTGGGAGACTACACGATAGGTTTTTTGCTCTGGAAGAGGAAGAGGCAGCAGGACGGGACAGTGAGGAGGTTAATTCGGCGTCACTGATCGAGTACGGTCAAAGAAGGAAGCAGCCGCGGATCCGGAAAAGACGCAGCACAGCAGCTTACGTGGAACCCGGTGTGCGCCACGGGCTAATATTGCCCAGTATATATATATATACACACGTACATGTATATATGTATACATGACGCGAACTACCACCACGATTGGAGACATACTGCAACAAATGAGGAATATTACCGTGTGCGCAGTACGGTCAAGGGCGAAACATAATGGGCCCCTAGGAGTCAAAAAGGCACCGCGCGAGGACCCAGAAGGATTCGAAGCCCTAGACAAGAGAACGACTACCGCGACTGTGACCAACAATTGCCCAAAAATGATGATTCGACATCAGGTACTCAGGCTCAAACCAGGACATCGGCAAGCTTTGATCCCCACCGCGAGGGGTGAGGCACGAGCAGTTATCATTGCGGAGTCATGTCCAGCAACGGAGTGAAAAAGGGGGCATACTACCTTGGCGAGGGAGCCACGGAGGTGGAAACGATCGAGCACGTGCTGGAGCGCGCGGATGTCAACTGGAAGAGCATTAAGCACGTCCTCCAGACGGTGGCGAAGGGAATCTGGCGGGAGCAGGAGGCGATGAAGGACCACAAGCACATGATGGCGATCTCCATGGTCAGGGCCAATATGGGGAAGACGAGCGCCGCGGCAGAGGACATTGCCAAGGAGGAGTACTACTGTCAGCTGAAGATCCAAGCCAACACGATACTGATCGCGGTCCAGAAGGTGACGGAGAGACCCAGCATGCTGCACGAGAAGATTCACGAGGAGATCGAGTACTACACCGGCAAGGACTGCGCGGGGCCGCAGTGCGACGAGCAGGCCCAGTTCGTGGAGGACAACGGGGAGGAGGTGCAAACTCAGACGAGCGGGGCCCCGTGCCGGCCGCCGTGGAAGCACATGGACCCTAGCGCATGAGTGCATTGTGGCTGGCAGCAGGAAGACCCGTCGAACAAAATCGAGCCAGAAGAGCAGCAGCGTTTGTGCGGTGGAGGAGGAGGGCGCGAGCGCGAGCAGCAGTCCGAGCGCGCCTCGAACGACGGCGCTGAGGGCCAGGGTCGAAGAGCTCGAGCAGCAGGTGGATGATGACAAGAAGAAGGAAGGCGACGCCTTCCCCGCGAAAGCGCCGACAACCAACAGCAGTGCCTGAGAAATAGCTCGCAGCGCACAGTCGGCGCCAGCTCTTGTTCACAACATGATTGGCGGGCAGATCTATGCAGCGCAGACTCTGTCGCATGCATGCTGCCTGGGCAACCGGACATCTGCGTTACTACCGCGCTGCGCAAGGGAGATGGGGTTTATTTTCGATGGGGAAACAGCGCCCTCAATAATGAGCAACTTGAGCCAAAGAGCAAGCTAGCTTCTTGAATTCGGCTGCGGCGCCCACCGAACCAGCCTTCAGCGAGCGGGGGTCGGGGGGGGGGGGGCGCGCGCCCCGCGCGCGCCCGTTCGACAGGCGCGGGGCCCAGCGGCCGTCCCCGCTGCAGACCGCCCCCCGCACCCCCCCTTGCTCCCCTGCAATCAGCCAGGGGGGCCTGGCCCCTGCGCGACTTATAATTTTGCTGCGCTGAATTTTTACAGGGTCGCCCCCGCGCGCGGCGCCGGCGGGCCGCGGGCCCGGGCCCGTCGCCCGCTTCCGCGCGCTGGCCCAACGAGGGGGCCTTGCCCAAAATGTCCCATCGCAGGGGGGGCAGAAGGGCCAAGTCGGCTTTCTCGGCCGAGTGGAGTCATCTCCCCGAGCGCCGAACCCCACCCTCTGCCCCCCCCTCCCCCGGCCGCGGCCCGAGGAGGGCTGGGCAGGACGGAGGCGGCGCAGAGCCGGGGCTTGCCGGTGAGCCGTCGCTAGGGCGACGCGGCGTGGCCGGCGTGCCAAGGGAAGTGCAGCCCCCCAGCCTTGGCCAACCAGTGCCTCTCTAACGCCAGTTTTCTCGTGCTCTATCGTCGGCCCGATCGCCGGCATGTTCGCCCTTGCTTCCATGGCAGCGCCAGCCGGCAGCCCTTTCAGATCCGCGGAGTTCCCCCCCGACACAGATGGGTCTGGAGCTTCCAAGCTGCGTCAGCTGCGTGGAACGCCGCCTCGGTCGCGGCGCGCGTTTGCTGCAGTTTCGGCGACGGGCAGGTGCAGACGTGAGGGGCTCTTGTGTGGAACCGATCCAGCTTTCTCCAACGCCGTCGCCAGCCAAGCTGGTGCCGCTGAATTTCATGCCGCGCCGCGGTTGGTGCCATGTTCAGGCTCATCCAGCGGTGGCATATGCTGGCGATATCCTGGTGGCGTCTCGGCCCAAGGGGGTTCCAAGTATTCATCCTGCGGGGGCTTTCACCGGGTCTTTGACGGCGCCCATTTAGTTGCTACGGCGGTTTATGAAATTGAGCTGGAAGCGCATCAATGCCTCTCCGTTGAACGAGCTTGCTGATTCCACGGCGCGACTGGCTTCAATGGGACTTGCGCCGGCTGTAGAGCATGACTATCAACCGTGGTCAGTACTGCTGATGCCGCTGCTCGTGCAGCGGCGAGTATGCTCGCGCTGCGGCCCCGCAGGATGGCCGCCGGGGGTCGCGGTGCCAGGATTCGCTGCCGATGCCAAGATGCGGCCAGCCGTGACTTGCCGGTGCGCATGCTAGCTCATGCTCGCCATTTTTCTGCTCGCTATTTTTATTTGATTGGCACGGTGGAGATTCGCTGGTGTCGCAACGGGTCGACGCCTGCATGGGATTATGTTTTACTTGCCAGTGTCGCTGCTGAGAGTTGAGGGGGGGAGATGGGTTTGCCTCGTGGATCAACCCGCAGCATGAGTGCGGGCGCTGTTGCAAGCTTCCGCTCTCGTCGCCCTGGGGGAACCTGGTCACCGCGCGCAGCAATCGAAAGCTGGGCGAGGGCGGCTAAAACCGCGGCTGCTAAAAGGGCCTCTTGGAGGGAAAGAACAATTCCCGGAATGAGGCGCGGCGCGCGAAGCAGTCAACGGGTTTCTCCCCGGTGGGGCGAAGTCAACTTCCCGGAGTTCGATTTTAGCAGCTACGGATTTAGCGGCCTTTGCCCGGCTTCCGAAGCAAACAGGCTCAGCCCGAACCATTGCATTGTTTTATGGGTGCCGATGCAACGCTTGCTTCACAGGTGCCAGAATGCGTCGGGGACGTGGCGCCCGAGGCTTAGCACGACAATGGCCGTTGCTTCCATCGGTCTCTACTTGCCACGGAACAGCGTGCTGCGTCTACGTATCTGCCGTCATGTTCTGGCGTCAATGGGACTTGGCCCCCCCCTGATGCTCAGGGTTTGGAGCTTCGTTTTGTTGCATCGATTGCATTGCCATCCTTGTGGGGCAGATGGTGATTGCGGCGTGGCAATGTGTCGGTGCCAATTTCGTTCTTGCGCGGCGATGCGACGACCGCTTTATGGTTACTACAGGCACGTATGTGCGCAGCGCTGTTCAGCGCGACCCAGCCGCCGCCTGGGCTCGTTCCCGAAACGGCGAAACCAAGCGCGAGGACCCCGTCTGCCGAGAGGCCTTCTGTGGAGGCCCATCGGGTGGCTCCCCGCGCAATGTCCGTGGGCGCGCCAACGGCGACGCATGTAATTGCGATGTAGATTTCGGTCACGTTGGAGCGCGCGGCTCGTGCTTTCTTAGACTTCGCCGCGCCGTTCTCGTTCGATGCATCCGCAGACCAAAATTGTCGGGAAGTGTGGTTCGTGATTTCCTACAGGTCGGTGTCCAATTCAACGTTAGGCAACGTGGCCGTTGGCGTGGCTTTGGCGAGTTCACGACGCGCCCATGGGGCCGCGCTGGGCCTCCGAATGCGCGCGTCCTTCGGGCGGCCGGGCTCGCCCGTTCTTCCTCGGGGCGTCTGAAGCAGGGCGCCGGCCCCGCGGCGTCAAGTCGGGCATGCCCCTCTACAGGAGGAGTATTCAAACATCGTTTTAGGAAATAGGATGGGGTTTTTTTTTTGGATCATGTATTGCAATGTTCGAGTCTGTTTCGGGGTATGTTTGGCTTTTCGTCCAAAATCCGCTTGTAGCGGGACGTGCCCGACCGAGCCGTTGCAGTTGGATTTCTCGGAGGTCCGTCAATATTGTTGATGAGTGCATGGTCGGGGGCCGCGCGCTTAGGGCCTTGCAGTCCCGCCGCGTTTTCCCATGGTTAGTCGCGCGTGCCATTGTGGCGTGGCGCGTGCGTTTGTGGCGTGAGTGAGGCGTCTTGCTTTCGTGCAGTCCGCTTGCGCTTTGCCGCTCGCGATGGGCCATCGCGCGATGCTCTACTACAATGGTGCCGTCGGGTCGGGGGGGCCGCCGATCGGGTTTGCGACAGCAGCCGAAGATTTTACCGCGCCACCACGTTCGCCCCGAGGAAAACGATCCGACCCATCGCTCACATTGGACCACCTAGTCGGAGTCAGGTATCCCGGGCGGACGTCAGCCCACAGCGTATGAGTTTTCACTGGTCCCCAGTGGTTTTCGTTGTCGGTTGCTTATGATTTTATTGCTTTCCCATGCATAAGCAAGTGGCAGCCAGTCTAGTTTTCTTGGAAGCTGCTTCCTATGCTGTTCGGCATGGCTTGGCATTGCT